ACAGCAAAAATGGGTGATTCACTACAAGTTATGTGCATTAGTCCTTCCCATGTTATCAGTGTCGATGTCACAATCATATATGTGAAGAAAAAATTCAGCCTATTTACTTTTTCCAAATTGATGAGAATTAAAAGCGCCCATCATGCACAATATTTCTTTGGGTTCGCCCTTAAAAGAATATTCAAGAATATCCTAGAATGGGTTACTTATCTAAACGTTTTTTTTTTAAATTATGTTAAGATATAAAATAAATATGGTGAAGTCTTAGAGAGACTTAGAATGTTCTTGTATATAAAAGACTAGATATTTGTATATAAGATTCTAGAGAAACTATATTTGTATAACACTTAAAAATATCCTAATCATTCATTGTAAGGCGAAAAACTTATTAATAAGGTAGGTTGCATAACAAATATCTTAGTCATTTGACCAAAAGCTTATAAATAGGGTAGGTTCTCATTTACAAAAAAATCAAGTCCCAAGCAACCAGTCTCAAATTGTAAACTCTATTAAGCAATTACAATTCTTCCATTCTCTCCAACTCTTCTCCCATTATGTATTTTCTAGCCACTTTAAAATCAAGTTGTGCTAGCTATGTAGGTAGGTTGACTTTAACACTTTCAATGGGGTTAGCTAGTGGTTAAGTGTCACATGGGCCTCGAAAAGTACAAGCCCGTGACACCTCGCCCCATCTATCCATTGCCACCTAACCGCGCCACCATTCTTCACTCTACTTCATTACTCATTCCCCTTAACCTCCAAAACTTTCTAACCCTAAAATCTAAAAAAAAAGTTTATTTGTTTTTCTTGGATTTTCGTCTTATACATTTTTGGTATATTGAGTTTTAGAAGTTTGTGGTTCACCGTGCCCAGCTTTTGGTTGCCATAATAGCATTTTCGATTTCATAGAATTGGACCCACCAAAACCCATAGATCCACTGGGTTTATATTAGAAGACCTCTTGTCCATCATATCTAAGTCACCCTTTCTTAGTGTTGCCGGATCAAACTCACCAACGTTAAACTCGATGATTGTTTTGTCTGGTTCGTTTTTAATTGGTTAATCTCATTTTATATACTGAAAAATTATTCGAATTTCAATTTACACCCTTAAAAATAGAAATTTATATCAATGTGCACCTAAAATTAAATTGATAAATTATACCTAGATCCCCTCATACTTGTCACTTAATCATTTAATCATCTTCATATTTAGAATATTACTCCTACATCTTATGACATTTGTGCACATATAACACGTAACCTATTTTCATTGATATCTATTAATATAACCGTTAAAAAATATAATTTTATCCTAATAAAAAATTATAATTTCATATTACCATTAATTTTAGGGTTAATCTCATTTTACACTCCGAAAGATTGTTTGAATCTCAATTTGCACCCTCAAAGATAGAAATTTGTATTAATGTGCATCTAAAATTAAATTGATAAATTATACCTAGATCCCCTCATACTTGTCATTTAATCATTTAAATCTCTTCACATTTAGAATATTATTCCTACATCTTATGACATTTGTGCACGTATAACACGTAACCCATTTTTATTGATATCTATTAATATAACCGTTAAAAAATATAATTTTATCCTAATAAAAAATTATAATTTCATATTACCATTTATTTTATGGGTTCAATATATTCTAAAGTTCAAAATTTAGTTTACCATTTGAATGTCTAATAAAATGTAAATATTTATCTAATGTTTTTCATATTACCTTTTATATAAATATCTACATTTTATTAGACATTCAAATGGTAAGCTTGATTTGCAACTTTAGAGTATATCGAATCCACAAAATAAAAGGTAATATGAAATTATAATTTTTTATTAGGATAAAATCATATTTTTTAACGATTATATTAACAGATATCAACGAAAAGTGGTTATATGTTACACATGCACAAACGTCATGAAATGTAAGGGGAATATTCTAAATGTGAAGGAGTTTAAATGATTAAGTGACAAATATGAGGGGATCTAGGTATAATTTATCAATTTAATTTTAAGTGTACATTGATACAAATTTCTATCTTTGAAGGTACAAATTGAGATTTTTGATCTTTGGAGGTGTAAATTGAGATTTGAACAATCTTTTAGGGTACAAAATAAGATTAACCTTTTTTAATTTGAAAAGTAAGGAATCATTTGATAAGTCTGTTTCTAGAGAAAATATTCGGCGTAACAGTTACACCACGTCAATATTTATTTATGGTGTAATTGTCTAACGATAAACAGACAAACAAATAGACAAAATGGACTTCATTATTTTAAACAACTAACTCTCCATGTAGGATAATAATCACCGCATATTACAAAAATGGGGTTCACTTTCTTTTTTTTTGTTTATTATTGGGATGTTACGCTATGCGACAATGTTGATAATTGTCTTTTTGGTGAATTTGACTTTGGCATGACTAATCTCTGTCACTTTTGACCGGCACAATCAATGGCAAGAGTTAATCGAAAAATATTCAAATTTTGAGAAGTAATTTGATAAAAATTAATTGTAACATAACCCAATCTTTAGGAGTATTTTATTATTAACCCAAAAAAAAAATGTGCGGCCTTTGTTACAGCAAATAACAAGACACACGCCTCAATTTCCTTATTTTTTTTTTTGCTTGAACCCCGGGGCTAGCATGCATGGAGCATCGTCCAAAAGCTACACTAGTAAACACTACTATTTATAAGCTTTTGGAGGCGCTGTGCCGAAGAAAAAATATACATACCGATTGACCTATAATGGCATGAGCCCTATTTTTTCAAGGTTACATTTTGCATAATTGTGCCCCCATTGAAAAGTTTTTACATTGATTTGGCCAGTAACCATGCCCAATAACTGTGTCATATTGACCACCGTATAACTCCTAAATGAACCAACTCATTTGGAAACCTATATTTTTTTTTTTACTCTATAGTTCCTTTGGATCAAGTCACAAGGAATTTATCCCTCGTGAATACATTGGTCTCGTGATTAGACTGAGGAGGAGATTAGTTGAGGTGCGCGTAAGTTAGTCCAAGCACCCCCGAAAGTTGAACTAAACAAAAAAAATCTAGTTGGTTTCTAAATCCATGCTAGTGGATGGGTTTTCAAGAAGAAGCCAATGCAAAAACTAGAGGGAGCAAACAAAATAACAATAAGGTAGGCATAAAATTGGAGCAAAAAACCCTCAAAGATTTGCAGCCAATACCCAGCTAATAACAAAGAATTGGAAGTAAGTAGGTGATAATGAACAGTGACAAACTGCCTAAAAGAAAAACATTAGGCAATGCAGATCATGATTGCAGCACCCCTTAAACTGTTGCAGTAAACATCCATTAAGCAAATTACCCATCAAGTATAATGGGATATAAAAGAAAAGTTCAAAATTAACTTTGAATGAGATAATAAAAAAGATAAGAGTACTTGCGAAAATCTAAGTCTTGATAAAACATAATAGTAGAATAAAATTAACGCAACTGACCACAATTAATTTGGGTAAAGCTTCATAAGGAAGATCACGTACTAAGAGTCATTATTTAAACATTATCCACAACAGAATATCCAGATAACCTTCCTTAACACGCTGCTGCCGGATGAACTTCAAAGCATATGAGCAACTAATGAAATACAAACACATTGAAATAGTTGCAACAGAGGAAATGACTGTCAAATTATTTAAAAGTAAATTGGAAGTATAGCAAATTTCAGAAACAAAACAAGCATTGCACAAGCTATTCAAATTAGCAGTAACATGAACAGAGACTACAAATGAACAAAACAATTTATGGGTTGCTCCATTAGTTTGATTTACAAAATTTTTAGTGATTTCTATCATGTCCCTCAATCGGAAAGATGCTGACATGGTAAGACATGTGAGAAGAAGCTCGGCACAAACAAAAGGTTGCAGAACAGAGTGATAAATCCGAAGTTAAGAGCTGTATATAAGCAAGTGAATGTTTAACTGACATAGCAGAAAACATTATGTTCGTTGCGACGCAAGTCAGAATCCACAGTTCATTCACTTCCCTCCTTGTTTAAATGGCTAGAGCGACTAAACTAATCCAACAGAGGCTACAGAGCAAAAATGACAGTGGGATAAGAACTCAGATAACTCTAGCACCTGCAGTAACATGCATGCTTTTGGAGCCTTTCCATCATATGCAGGGCTATATATTCTTTAAAACTGCTCAAAGCAAGGAGGTGTTAGAAAAACTGATGAAAGGCATAGAAAAACAATGTTAGTAAGAAATGTGATCGACAAGGACTTAACTGCAGGTTCCACAGTCGAAACAAAGTACAAAGTTATTTGACATAGTATTACCCATCACAAACCTGGCATGGCAAACGTACCCCCTTTCCTCTTTTAAGTTATACTTGCTTTTAAGATTAGTGTTTTGTACACAAATATCCCCAAAAAATAAGAATAAGAAAAAGAAAAAGAAAAATGTCCATCCATAACTGGGTCCGTGAAGAGCAGTGATGCATCATTAAGGCTGAAATTTTTGCCTCTAATTTGTGGCAGGGTCCTCCATGCAGTTTGGCTTTTATCAGACGTTAGATTGAACTCACAATGTGAATCTGGATGAATCAATCATCTAAAATCTGACATGGTAGAAAGATAACAACCATGAAATCAAATTAAATGACAGTGTGATACTATATATACTTTTATAAATACACTAACATTGACAAGATCAGAGTTCAGATGCTAGTTGCATTCGTACATGTGCAGCTCATCATTCATGATGATAAGGAACCATGCAAAAACAAGTGATACAAATACAATTATTAACCTAATAATGCAAAATTAAAATATTGCCCTGTAGGATTCTAAGAATTGCAACCACATCACCTTTCGAAGAAGCCCCACCATATCAAATTCATCGTCCCATATATCAGCTGATGATGTCCATGCTATCACATGCTGTTTTGCTCACGTCTGACATCCTCTTGCAGCTGGAAACTCTCTGAACGTGCTAACTAAATAGATTTTAATGGCTAGGCAAAAGAATAGTATTTGGAAACAACGCTGACCCATTATTGGGAGCTCCCTGAATGTTGAGGATTGCTGTAACCAAGTTGTATATCTGAATGTTCTCAAACGAAGGGACCTTTCGCCCCTTACCAAATTGAGGACCATGGCCAACAAATATGGTCCTCATTGAAAAATATGCATTGTCATACCCGTGTGCTCCTCCACATTCTTTCCTCTTCGATCCCTTTTGTTCCACCTTAAACCCCTCTTCAAGTAATCCAATTATTGGTGAAATTCGATCACTTGCAGCATAGTGCAGCCGACTAGGCAGCTCCTCTTTCAGATAAACTTTCAAGTTATTCCCATTTTCGACTTTCCCGGATGTCAATCCTTCATTCATCTTTGCCACAACATCTGATGGAGAGTAACCAGGTGGTGGGCGGATAGCAAGCAGTGGACTATAAGATTGAACCCAATCCTTTGGGATTTCAATCCAAGACGCCAAATCCTCAAGAAAGATTAACTTTTTATCACATGTACCAACCATACCATGATCACCTACCATAATTATATTAACATCCTCAAAAACCCCTCTTTCTTCTAGACCTTGAATCAACCTCCCAATCATCCTATCAATTCTACCAACAGCTTCAGTAATCTGAGGATCATCAGGTCCAACCTGGTGACCCTGATGATCTGGGTCCTCAAAATACAATGTCATAAACACAGGAATTTCACTACTTGGCAAATCAAAATACTTCAAAACTGTATCTACTCTCTCTTCAAAAGGCACAGAACCATTATAATTCCTACAAAAACCCACAGGACAAGTCCACGAACCTTTAATTACCTCAGAACCAGGCCAAAAATATGTTGCAGCCTTCAAACCATGATTGACCACCGTCTCCCACAATGGCTCTCCCAACCACCACTTGGGCTCATGACTCGCCATAGTGAAAGGCTCACCAGTTTGCGGATCAACAAAATAGTTGTTGATAATTCCATGGTAAGCTGGGTATAAGCCAGTGGCGATTGAGTAATGGTTTGGGAATGTTAGAGTTGGAAAAACTGAAATCAAACCCTTTTCGGCTTCGGTTCCATTATCAATCAATCGATCAATGTTTGGCGTATGGGTCTTGAACTGATACCCAAATCGAAACCCATCAGATGATATCAAGATAACAACTGGGTGGTTGAGTTTTGTGAGTGGACGAGAAAATTCAACAACGGGTTGGGAGGTTTGGTTGGGGTGAGAATGAGAATGAGGTGGTAAGGAATTGAAAAAGAGAAAGGCGAAGGCGACGGCGGTGGAAAGGGATAGGCAGGTGGTGAGGATGAGAGAGATGAAAAGGACGGTGGTGGTGGTGGGTCTTAGCGGAGGAGTCGAGGAAGAATCTGTGTTGAAGGAGAGAAGAGCTGTGGTTGAGTTCTGTAGATCTTCGTCTTGAACTGGTACTGGTATAGGCTTGAGTGAATCTGTAGCCATGTTAGAGAGGGAGATAGATTTGTCTTCTTCCCCGATGGTTTCAGAGATTGCAGATTTTGTGATCTGGGTTGTGTTTTACTTTTCTCTTTTTAGAGAGAGATTGGACTTCTATTCTTTGGTGTCTCGATTCAAAGAGAGATTGGAGTGAAATGGAAGGGAAGTGGGTTGCTGGAACAGACGAATGGTTGCAGTCGGAGGAGAGAGAATGAAAATGGTTGACTTGATGGGACTCCGAAGAAAGATAGGCGCTTGTTAGATACGATGTTCCTCAGGTTTATATTCCGGGTATCAAAAAAGTTGTTCACACATCAGTGAGATCAAATAAACATAAATTAAAAATTTTAGGATCAAATAAATATAAATTAAAAATTTTAGGAATTAAATACATATAAAATTAAGAATTACGTAATTGACATATGATTAAAACTGTTATAATTTTTTTACAGATGTTTAAAATTAGACCATTTACATATAAATTAAAAATTTTAGAGATCAAATAAATATAATTAAAAAATTAAGAATCAAATAGACACTAAAAATATAATTTAGGGGCTAAAAATGTATTTTATCCCACAAACAAAGTAAAATTTCTGGATAAAATTACACTTTGTTTCCCTAAATTATACCCATAATTGACATTGTTCTTTTTTTTTTAACCATAGAACAACTCTAACGCTTCTACTTAAAAAGCAGAAGTGTTAAAGTGTTCATATAATCCACACACACCCTAAGACATTCATATAACCCACATTGTTCTTTAAATTATTCAATTCCTCACATTACATTTTAAATTATTAATTTGAGTTTCAACTACCCCAATCATTAATTTATTTTCAATTTTCACAACCAATTAAGGTAAGAAAGAAATTCCGTCCGACTGAGTATGTAAAGACTGCATCTCCTAACATTGCAAAATTTTGTTTTTGCTCTAATTTGTATGAAAAATTGAACAAAAATCAATGGTTGATTGAGGCAATTTGAAAATCAAATCAATAGGTTAAAGTGCAATGTCAAAAAAAAAAACATATAGTTGTTGATGGTGTATTTCAACGTGGATGAGCTTAAGGTGCAGGAAACGTGAGATGAGCATGGATCAGAGCTTTGAAGATCGTGTATGATGCTATAATAAAATATTGAGGGGATTAAGGGGGTGTACATAGTGAAAATATAGTGGTTTATCAGTTCGAGAGTTCGGTTAATCCACTCTTCAATGAAGATTCTTTCTCCTTCCTTCACTATTTACTATACCAAAAGGTTTACAGGATGTAAGATGTGATATTAAGGTTCTGCCTCTCTATTAGGGGGGTTACATAGTATTTATAGAGCTATTCCCTGCTAAGAAGGATCTTAGCCGAGATTCTTGGCCCTATTTTGTGGGCTTTTCCTTAATTCTAGGAGAAGATCTTGGTTGGTTGAGATTGAGTGCCTTGATTACAGCTTCATAACGCTTAAGGATCCTCTCGTGGTTATCCAGCTGTCATCTTGTCTTAAGAGACATTCGGCCCTTACCCTCTAACCTCTGCTAATGTGTCTGACCTCCTGCTCCGAGCTAACCTCTTGAGTTTAGCACTTGAAATTTATTTTAAGTATCATCAGTTGCCCCCCAGCCCTTGGTCAAGCTGGCTTGGGCGAGGGCTGAGCTTAAGATGTAGTAGAATGGTTTCCTAATCAACAACTTCAAAGTTTGCACAGGAAATCTTTTTTTTTTTGCATGTAGGTGCTCCTGACCTGAACCTGCTTGAATTGATGAGGGTGGAACAAATGACCCAAGCTGAGCCCAAGTCTTTTCCTGATCTCATGACGCCAGATAATTTGTTCTTGTTTAGCGCCGCTGCAGCTGAACGAGACTTTCCCTTTTTCCTTCATCCAGATCTTTCCTGGGGGAAGTTCTATTTTTCCCTGTTGGGCAAAAATTGATACATCTACTATCAGTGACTAAGAAGGAGAGGGGTGAGCTGAAGGAGGAGAACCTGCATTTGAAAGAGAGGATAGCCGAACTGTAAAGACGACTAGAAATTTTGCTTTGATTGGTTTTTTTGTAATCTTTGATGTTCTTGAAACCTTGATTTTCCCTTTCCATGTTTGCCGCTTCTTATACACAATTTGTGGCTTTGAGAATCTAGCAGCTGATCTTCCATGTCGTTTCCTGGCTTGTGGACCAAAGACCCACATTTTTCCTTTTTGTAATGGATAGAAGCTGTGAAACTTTCCTTCTAGTCTACGTGTTGCAAGTCTTGCTTTTAGTTCTTCTGGATCGGGAAGCGCATTCTGAGTTGCTGCGTTTTCTTTACGGACAGAAGAACTCGTCCTGAGCTACTGAGCTCTAGGACTTTTTTTTTATGAACTAACGAGTTCATCGTGAACTCTAAAGCTCTTATTACGGACAAACGAGTTCATCGTGAGCTCTAGGGCATTTTTTATGAACTAATAAGTTCGCCGTGAGCTCCATGGCTCTTTTTATAAACTAATAAGTTCATCGTGAGCTCCCGAGCTCTTTTTATGAACTAACGAGTTCATCGTGAGTTTCATGGCTCTTTTTATGAATTAATGAGTTTGTCGTGAGCTCTCGAACTCTTTTTATGAACTAACGAATTCGTCGTGAGCTCTCGAGCTCTTTTTATGAATTTGTTTATGAACCAACGAGTTCATCGTGAGCTCTAGGGCTCTTTTTATGAACTAACGAGTTCGTCGTGAGCTCCCGAGCTCTTTTTATGAACTAATGAGTTCATCGTGAGCTCCATGGCTCTTTTTATGAACTTGTTTATGAACTAACGAGTTCATCGTGAGCTCTAGGGCTCTTTTTATGAACTAACAAGTTCGTCGTGAGCTCCCGAGCTCTTTTTATAAACTAATGAGTTTATCGTGAGTTCCAGGACACTTTTTATGAACTAACGAGTTCATCGTGAGCTCCCGAGCTCTTTTTATGAACTAAAGAGTTCATCGTGAGCTCCAGGGATCTTTTATGAACTAACGAGTTCGTCGTGAGTTCCCGATCTCTTTTTATGAACTAAGGAGTTTATCGTGAGTTCCAAGGCACTTTTTATGAACTAACGAGTTCATCGTGAGCTCCCGACCTCTTTTTATGAACTAATAAATTCGTGGTGAGCTTCCGAGCTTTTTTTATGAACTAATGAGTTTGTCGTGAGCTCCCGAGCTCTTTTTATGAACTAACGAGTTCATCGTGAGCTCCTAGACTCTTCGTAAGAGTGAATGAACCATAGACTTGCTACTTTATTAATAATCATATTATAGGACAAACTTACTGAACAAAATTTCTTAGATGTTTTGCATTCCAAGAGTGGGGTAAAATTTTCGTCGGGTCTGCTTTTGTCTGGGGTGGCCCCCTCAGGAATTTTTTGTTTTGTACCTCATACAAGATTTGCGATATTGTTGCGGTGAATGGAGGGACCTGCCGAGGTGCTTACCTCTACTACAACTCTGGATGAGGTGGTCTCAAGCGATCTTTGACGTCTCCCCTTTTTTTGGGGGATCGATCTCTGTCTCTCCTTGGGGACTTATCTCATCCTCTTTCTCTTCTGGAACTTCGGTCCCTCTTTTTCTCTTATTTTTCTTTGTCTTTTTGCATGGATGAGCTCCCCACTTTTAGTGATTCAGAGTTGAACCTCTAAATATAGGATCTGAGGTTCTCTTGGGGTCTCTACTTCACATTCAACAGGTGGTAACTCGGCTTTTTGTACGTTCAAGCTCCTATGAAGTGAGATATAAAGGATATTGACAGCTCCTTAAAGGAAGAAATTGAGGTAGGGGGGGAGCCTATTGAACCACGCCAGGGCTGAGCCTTTCAGCGTGATGGCAAAGGCTCTGCAGCGCACTGGATCCTAGTATCCATGCAACTCCATCTGGTTCTTGTAAGTGTTGAGGTAATCTACGGGATCCTTTGTTCCATCAAAAGCCTCTATCTGTGGTACTCTGAATTTCAGAGGGAGGGAAAAATGCAGTACACCAGTGGTTAACGGAGATTCAGTCTGTTGTTCCAAGGCATCCATCGTAACTGGAGCCTTGCCTCTCACGGCTTCTTTCATGCGGCTGAGCTCTTGCTGGATACCTTGGAAGCGCTGCTCCCAATACCGTTCTCTCCTTTTCTGTTAATAGGGGAAAAAATTGTTCTCTCGTCCCCGTCATTCTGACTTTGTACTTCTTCGTTGTGTCCATTTCTGGGGGGTATGCGAGATTCAGGCCCTATGGTTTAGCTGTTTTCCCCTTCTTCGTTGACTTCGCTGAGGGGGTTGAGGTGTGGTTGCTCCCTAGGTGGTGGATTGTTCTGGCCTTCTTAAGCCTGTCGCTCCTCCTGTGGGCGTTGTAAGAGCTTTAAGAGTTCTTCGTTTTGTTTCAGCAAGTGTTGATTGACGAGGCGAAGGGCCTCCATCTCGTTATTTATGGGGAGATCCCCCACGGGTGGATTGGTCTCTTGGACATTCTCAGGTTGTCTGTTATTAGTAGCTTCTTGTTGATCTTGCACCCGTGGTGAATTTGTCTGACTTCGATTCATGTTTCGCGTTGATACTATCAGTCACTAAAAAATCAGTTTATTTATAATAGGAACAGTCGTTCCCACAGACGGTGCCAAACTAATTGTGTATTTCAACATGGATAAGTTTAAGGTGCAGGTAACGTGAGATGAGCATGGATCAGAGCGTCGAGGCTCGTGTATGATGCTACAATAAAATATTGAGGGGATTAAAGGGGTGTACACAGTGAAAATATAGTGGTTCACCAGCTCGGGAGCTCGGCTAATCCACTCTTCAATGGAGATTCTTACTCGTTTCTTCATTATTTACTATACCAAAAGGTTTACAGAATGTAAGATGTGATACTAGGGTTCTGCCTCTCTATTGGGGGCGTTACATAGTATTTATAGGGCTACTCCCTACTAAGAAGGATCTTAGCCGAGATTCTTGCTCTTATTTCATGAGTTTCTTCTTAATTCTAGAAGAACATCTTGGTTGGTTGAGATTGGGTGCCTTGATTACAGCTCCCTAATGCTTAAGGATCCTCTCGTGGTTATCCAGCTGCTGTTATCTTGCCTTAAGAGACACTCGGCCCTTACACTCTGACCTCTGCTAATGTGCCTGACCTCCTGGAGCGAGCACTTGGAATTTATTTTAGGTATCATCAGTTGTAAAGGTGCGACACGAATGGAATCAATTCAAGTTCGACTTAATCTAAACTTGTAGCTGGATTTGGTCTTTCTTGCCAATGGAATGAGTTTCGGTTGAGCTGATAAAATATTTCATTTTTTGTACAATTATGCTATGAACTAAGGTATCAAAGACATACATTTAGGAAAAAAAACATGGGTGAATTTACCCAAACAAAAAAAAACCAAGTTACTCTCAGGATTCGGAAATGCTTTAGAATGCCATCGCCTCAATGCCACTGAAAAACAAATATTTGAAGCATTTATGCATAGTAGTGCACACGAGGGAAGGATAGGGCTCCAACCTTCAAGCATCATTTGCAGGGAGAGCGGTTTCGATGTTTGAAGGCATCAGGACATTAAAACCATCTGCAGCAGTGGAAATGAGCATTCCAGGGATCTGTGAATGCCAATGAAGTTCTTTCAAATCCTTCTGACCCTGTTATTAACACAGATGTGAGGTTAACAGAATGTACAGGAAAAGAAATCTGCACATATTCTTGCTTAGGGGATGGAGTGAAGGATATAACCTGATGAACAAAGGGAAGTTGTGGCGGCAAATCTGAAGGGGCATTACTTGTTCTCTTGTTTTAGCTTTGATGTCAGCCTCCTCTTCCTCATCTCTTTCTAAAGAAAGGTCCCATATTCTGACAGTCAAAATAAACGAAATGTCAAGATAGCCTCTCCCTCTCTCAAACACAAACACGTGTGCACACACGAGGAACACACGGAGAGAGAGCACAGAACTAATCAAAACTTCTCCCTCTTGTTGTCCCTATCACTTTCAGCTAACTTTATTACTGTCTTCACAGATTCTTACGTTAGTTGATTGTCTGATGACGAAACTGCCAAGGTGGAGGCTTCATGTGGACTCCATTCAATCGATGTAATGGGGTTTTTGTGGTACTCAAAATGTGCCACTACTGAGTCTCCTTCCTGGGCATAAAAAATAGGAAGAACAGTTAAAAACAAAAAAGGATCCGTTCTGTTCTCTCTCTCTCTACCTCTTCTTTTTTACCTAACTTCCTAATCTTTTATGCCTGGCCATAACAACATGGGAAAGCAAGCTTCCCTCCCTTTGAAGTGAATTTCTCAGATCAGCTCCCCAATAAGGATATACCAACCCGAACTTATATCTTGCAAGAGAGTACATCCATAGATTGGGAACAATTACCCACAAGACGAGTGAGAGAGAGAGAAGCACGACAATATGATATTATATTCATACAACAATAGTGTAAAGAAAAATCTCATAGTCTTAGAGCCAAAAAGTTCCTACGAATGATAGATTGGCATGAGTAACCTTCAAGGAGCAAGATGAGAGGAGGCAGCAGCTCATAAAGACCATGTATAAACCGAAAAACAACCATCATATGACAAGTATAACAGACTATAACCCAAAACACGACCATCATATGAAAGGATAACAGATTATAAACCTCCACTAACAATCAAATGGTGCACATAGAGGAAAACGTAATTGGAAAACATAACAAATGGGGCATGCCTCATTTAGACTCGGAAAACACGAACAAATGATTCGCAAGGCTTTTAATTCTTTAATGAAGCCTTCGTCTTTTTCGACAATGGGTAGTCACTTGTTTGATGTGCGATGAATCTTTAATGATGCTTTTGTCTTGGTTGAGATTGCTTTGTTTGCTGTTGGATAGTTGGTTGTTTGTTGCCTAGAATTTCTGGGTTTCTTCTGTTTTTTGCTCCTATAATTTAGCTGGCCTTCTGTTTTTGTTTTGGGGTCTTTTTCCAACTTTCTTTTGCTCTAAAGTGAGAATTTAAGTCTTTTGGTTCTAGATCTGTTTGATTGTCAAAGAATAAAGGTAGGAGAAGAAAAGAAACTGAAATTAACCTTCATATTTTCATAACATCCTCTGATCCAAGCTTGATTGAGAGATGACTAATAATTTATACATATCTATTATTGCAATGAAACATTTGGATCATAAAAATTTGTTCATTTGACTAATCTCTTGCACAACTGTCAATGCATATTCACTCCCTTGCCCCATTTACTGTGTAGATAAGTTCACAACTTACTAGAGCATGCTGATGTGACTCAACTTTATTTTATGGTAGAATTTGAAAGTTCATACAAACTATTTGATTGAGAATTTGTGATTGCCTTTGTGTATGAAAATTCGTATGTTGGTACCTAATTTTTTGAGGCATATTTAAACTCTCATTGTACTTCAAACTCATGTCTCTATCTTCTTACTCTTTTATTTTTTTTAATTTTATTTGCAAGGAGAATATCAATAGAGATTTCTGAAGTTGGAACATGGAAAATAGCCGTCCTATAAGTGCATCAATTGAAATTGCAGGTAATTAACTGTGGTGTTTGATGTCAAATAAGTTATAGGTGCTTATCAATGTATGGTGTTAGTCTCACTGTTTCTTTCTCTCTCCGCTGCTCAACACATACAGAGCACACATCGAAGGTGTTCGACATAGAGCCTAGGATCAAAAAATCTACCGTCATGCACTCCTTCTAGAGTTATATTTCTACTGCTCTCTCTTTTATTGCTCTCTCGAAGAAATTCCACTTTTGTGATAAAAAAAATCAACTACTTGGGTTTGGTTTTTTTATTCCGACGTTTCCAAAGTTTATTTGTTTAAATTTGGAATTTTTTTGGATGTATTGCGAATGAGTTCTCTAAAATTTGTTTATTCTTTTGTCAATGATCACCATGACCCAAAAAAATCGATGCTTTGGCGGTATCTAACATGTCAAACAAACTTTGCCATCAAGTTGGAGACATAACTCTTGCACATCCCTACACACACTGAGATTTTTTATGCTTGAACAGAACCCATGCTGAAATTTTTGAGAGAACTTCATGGTATCTAATGTGTTCAATTTGTAGAATTCATGGTGTCTTCTATTTTTCTAATTTACCATATCTACTACCATTTCTCTTACTCATTATGTCTTATGCATTCAATTTGTCAAATTCATCATGGCTGTTACTATATTTTCTTAAGTCATGGTGCCTACTACTATTTGCTAACACATTCAAATTGGTTTCAATTTTACAGGTTGTCTTTGATTGATCCACTCATGTCATCGTCAAATTCGTAGGTAGTTTTTTGGTGATTTTCTCTTATAACTAAGTATGTTTGTATTGAAACTAAATAATCAAATTATGTTTCGGGTATTTTAGGAGAGCTTTTTCAATTTGAGAGTAGTTCAATTGAATTTTTATGATCAGTCTGACTCAACTATTTTCAAGGTTTGTTTTTCGTTGAAATTAAACAGTGTGTTTGAAACCAATTATGTTTAAATGTTATAATTAGTTTTATGGTGTTGGTATTTTAAAATGGGGATGCGACTCTAAGTTGTGGTGTTTATTTCGGTGGTCGGTATCGGTTGTAGTATTTTATTACTAGGATATAACTATCACCAGAATATCCTTTTGTTGTTCTTGAGGGTTAATTTTGTTGGATGGTATAAATTGTGGCAAAAAAAAAACCCATAAAAGGTTCAATTTTTATTTTGTTTTATTGAGTCTATAAAATGTTTTATTGGTTACTAAGATTCTGTTGAAATTTTTAAACAAACAATGGACCCAAATTTCAATTTTTATTTTTATTTTGTTTTATTGAGCCTGTAAAATGTTTTATTGGTTACTGTTTTTTTTGAGATTCTGTTGAAATTTTTAAACAAAATATGGACCAAAATTGATTTTAAATTATGTAATTAAAGAAAAGCAAAGAAATTTTGTTGCTAAAATATTTTTTATTAAATAGTGATATTTTTGTGTGTTACATAGTGTCTTTAGGTACGAGAAATTACTAGTTAAAAATACATTTTAGACTTTTCAGTTTAATGTGTGCTTATATTCGGTGTTTGATTGTTCGTGTTCAAATATAATAGATATTTTTTAATTAGATAGTATCTTAAGACACAGATTGGGAGCAGTTTAAGCTTTCAATTCAGTAGGCATCCAAGTTTTGTGCTTGATTATATATATGTATAGTCTCTCTCTCTCCCTCTCTCTCTCCCTGTCTCTTTGTCTCTCTGTAATGATACCTCAAGCAGGGCCAGCCAATGTGGAAAGCGTGGAGAGAATTGTAAGCAAACGGGTCACACTGAAGCTCTTCTCCTTCCTCCAGCTTGTCTACACCTGGCTGCCATACCTTCGCCGGCAACGATGGTATCGAATTCGAGGACGAAGAAGACCCCTCTCCTTTTTTTGAGCCCTATTTAATACAAAATAATCAACCAACTTAACTACATAGTAGTCACAAGTAAACTATCAAAAAATTGGAGGGAAAGAGAAAAGGTCAAACTTTGTTTTTTCGTTTAGCCTTTTTGGGGTTTTTTATGCTTCGAACCATTCTATTGCTGTTTGTCTGCCGGGGTATATAAGGTGGAAGATGAAGAAGGAAGAAGAATATACAGAAGCTGAAGCTGAGACTAGAGCGGAAGGGTTTTTAGACTAGGGTTTTATTTTGCCCCATTTTTTTAGTAAATATATTGGGTAGCTATATTCACCCTACAAATATTTATTCGCACCCCCATTAAAATTTCTACAAACAAACTAATAAGTGTACCCTTTTTATACCCACTCTATTTTAAGTAAGTTCATCTCATGCTATATACATTACTTATAAATTTTTTTAGTGAGATACATGATTATATTATTTTTCGGTTTAATTTTTTGTTTGATTTCACGTGTGTTATGTGATTTTATATTTGATTATGTCAATCTTAATTATTTTTAATTTAGGGTTTTATGTATATGTGTGTGTGTGCGCGCGTGTGTGTATATAAATGTATGTATAAATTATTCTCGTTAGTATACTCAAAAGATTTCTTTGATCCAAGTTATGTCAATTCAAAAAGAAGTTAATATTATTGCTCACATTATAGCAAGACAAGCTATTGCACCTCATGTTAAACTAATAGAGGTTGTTTTGACGGAAGGTAGAATAGGGTTAGATAATATAAGGTCACAGAAAATGATATACTCATCTTACTTATCAATTTATGATGGGTCAAGCCCAAAGGTCCAACTCATGTTATAAGTCTGATTCGAGTTTTAATGCCCAATTTCAAAAGGTCCATCAAGTTCAGCCTAATGTGATCGATCTAGTCAAACTCATCAAGCTTAAGGAGTTACGTCAACAAAGAGCATGCAAGGTCATCTGGGAGTCTTCTCTACACCACCAAGAGAGCGTCCAGGAGTCTCACCCCTACCGCTTGGAGAGCATCATAAACTTCCTTGCCGTTGAGGAGAACAGAGGTCGCCAAGCTAATTAATCACTATTAAAGTTACACCAACCCGTTATGACTATTAAACGGCCTCCACTCCATTATGACCATCTGACTAGTTATACAATTACTACACTGAGCACTATAAATTGTAATCTCCACCAACACTTGGGGGACATCTCACTCATTTTGAGTATAATTCTCTCCTCCTCTCTGAAAGCTTGTAATCTCCTGCTCTTTCGTTGCACTGGAGTTAATAAAATCCCGGTGACCCTTGCCATTTCAAGTGAACGTAGGTCACTTTGACCGAATCACTATAAACTTGGTCTTCTCTTTCTCAACTTTACTGCATTTTATTTTACTTAATTGACAGGTGATGTACAAACCAATTTTGTGCATCATCAGTTTGGCGCCGTCTGTGAAAAACGATAAAATTCTCACCTAATTATTTTCTTTGCTCAATTAAAGTCAATCACCATAAGAACCATGAATCAACATGAAGACAACCCACGAGAGGAAGAGGTCGCTCCTCCACCTGTCAATCCCGTCCCAAATGCACAGCAGATGTTGGTCACAATGCAACATCTCATAGCCCAGAATCAACAAATTCTTCAATTGATATTCGAGTAACAAGAAGGAGCGCAGCCTGGACCTCAAGCTAGAGAAGCTCCACTCCCTGGTCATCATGGAGCTCCTTCTCTTGGGGCTCCCCATCCAGGCGCCCCCTGGGCCCCCCTTTGGGAGTTCCCTTGGGCGCCCCATATAGGGGGGCCCGTCATGAGGGACCTCCTTCTCCAGCCTCTGCTCCGTCTCCCTATGGTGGAGACCCTCATCTCCAAGAAGACGAGGATGAAAACCAAAACATGGAGCATGGGAGCCGCCACCAGAAGCCTGTCACCCACTTGCTCAGCATAAAGTAGGAA